ATCCTTCTGCCTCCCTCAAGGACCCTGTGATGCATTTGGCCCATTTGGGTAATCTAGAAAAATCTCCCCAACTCAGAGATCCTTTACATATACGCAAAGTCCCTTTAGCCATATAAGGTAACATATTCACAGATTCTGGGGATCAGGGTATGGGCATCTTTTCAGGGAGAGGGTCACTATTCTGTTTATCACAGGTAGTCTTAGGAAAGTCATTTAACTTCTAGCAGTCTGTTCTCTTATCTACACTTTAATGTGGGTAAAGCTTATGACCCATAACGAGGACCAACAACATCTTATATAGCTCTGGTTTAACAGCTGTGTGATCTTAGTTATATCATTTACTTCCTGGAGTTCCAATGTTGTCCTCTATAAAACAGGGTAAAGCATATCAGCTATCAAGTTTTATTTACATGAAAATCCATTTAATCCAGCATAGTTCATTAAAAAAAAGCATAGTTCATTCTTTCATCATTTCTTAAAGGACTACCAATTTTCTTGGAGCATGTGATACTTTGTCATGAATCAAGTGACCAAACATGTGGTGTGGCTCTGTTTAAGAATTATTTTTTCATTCTCTGATTTGTGTGAATATTCTTGTGCCAATTTACTAATTAAAACATTGTTTTAATAATAAATAAATCTTGATATCTTATAGTATAATTTTTCTTTCTTCGTTTTCTCTGAGTTTATCTTGACCCTTTGGATTTTCATAGATAAAATAGAATTGTTTTGTCAACTTTCTAAAAAAAAACCTCATATTTTGATACAGATTGCATCAATCTAATATAAATTAGAAGAAAGTGATATCTTTACAATATAAGCTTTCAATCCATGAACATGCTATATCCTTTCATTTATTTATATCTTTTTAAATTTCTTTTGAAACTTCTCTTAGTAGTATTTATAGTTCTCTGTGTAGAAGACTTGTATATCTGTTGTTAAATTTTCCCCTAAATAATGATGGTTTTTGATATTATTATAAATAGCATATAATTATGTATTTGCTTTTTATCTTACTGGTTTTTCTTTGTATGAAAAATATAATTGAATTTTGTATCTTGACCTTTTATTCAGTGATCTTTCTTAATCCACTTAGTAATTCTCTTAGATTTGTTATATAGTATACCACTGATATTTACTGTAATAATTTTAGTTTTCCACTTCCAAATCCCATGCTATTTATCTCCTGTTTGTGCCTTATTTCTCTAGTCAAGAATCCTTTACAATGTTGAATAGAATTGGTGATAGCTGGCATCTTTGTATCTTTCTACATAGCAGGGGGAATCTTTCAGAACTGTATCATTTATTAAGATGAGATCTAATACCAGATTAAGGAAATTTCCTTTTATTCCTAGTTTGCTTAAGTTTTTTAAAATTATGAATGGGTATTGAATTATATCAAAAGTTTTTGCTTATCTATTGAATTGATCGGTTAATTTTTCTGTTAATGTGGCAATTACAGTGATTGATTTTCAAATGTTAAATGAAACTTGTATTCCTAGAGTAAATCCATATTAGTTGTGCTCTATATATTTATTGGTACATTTCACTCTGCTAGCATTTTATGATTTCTGTACCTAAAATCTTAAACATGGGAGATACTAGTCTAATGTTTGCCTTTCTAGTCCTGTCTTTGCCAAGTTTTGGCATCAAAATTATGCGGACTTTATAAAACCTGTTTAAAAGTGTTTCTTTTTTTCCATTTTTTAATGCAAGTTTTGATATTATTATTATTTCTTCTTTAGAAGCTTGGAAGAAAAATGCCAGTGAAAACACCTGGGATTGGAATTTTGTCTGTCAGAGATACTAAGTTATGGATGAAATTTCTTTAATAGATGCAAGACTGTTCAGATTTTGTTAAATGTAAGTTTTAAGGATTTTTCCATTTCAACTAATTTTTCAAATATATTGGCATAGAGTTGTTTTAATCTCTTGAAACTGGTATAATTTAAATAATGTAAAATGTGTCATCTTAAGTATACAGCTCAATACGTTTTAATACCTGTATAAAAATCACCCAGATAAAGTTACAGATCTATCACTCCAGAAAGTTCCCCCATACCCCATTTTATTTTAGAAGCTTCATAGTTTTTATCTTTAAATTCTCACTCTACTTTTAAGTTAACTTATGTATAATAAGAAGTAGGGATCAAGG